TATATATATATATATATTATATATATGCATATATATATACATATACACATACACATACATATATATAGTTAGATAGAATATATATATATATATATATATATATATATATATATATATATATATATATATATATATATATATATTATATATATATTATATATATATATATATATATATATATATATATATATCACTCTATATCTCTATTTTTTCTTTGGAATCGATATTTTAGTTTACAGTCACTTGTTTGATCTCTAATTAAATATCTTACAGAATTTGACAAATTCATAAATCAACGTATTGACGTCAGCACATTATTTCTAAGCACATTACTATCTCTCTTTGCCCTCCTCACCCCCGACTCTCTCTCTCTCTCTCTTTCTTCTCTCTCTCTCTCTCTCTTCTCTCTCTCTCTCTCTCTCTCTCTCTCTCTCTCTCTCTCTCTCTCTTCTCTCTCTCTCTCGTCTCTCTTCTCTCTCTCTCTCTCTCTCTCTCTCTCTCTCTCTCTCTCTCTCTCTCTATGCATCCATCTATCCATATCTATTTTTAGCCACTGTTTCTATCTTTCTGTGCATCTTTTTATATTTCTCTTTTACACACTTTAATGTTGGTGTGACAGTCCTAAAAATATGACTTTGATCACCTCATCATTACTGACTTCATTTGTTGTAAATCCGTCTACATACACGTCACTCTGGCTAATATTAATATGATATTTCTATTTGATTTTCATAAAGAAAAAAGAAAAAAAAGCACATTGGAAAACACATAGCTCTCTAATAAAAAAAAAATATATATATATATATATATTCTGACTATCTATGGATATATATATTTTTTTTTTTTTTTATTGTATGACAGCACCGTTTAATTAGCCTCGTTTTTTCTGGTGCTGTTAATTAGTCAACTGTGATTACATGACTGTGCGTTATGTGGTGTTTTGTCGTGAAATAGAGAGGCTTTGAATTTTCATTTGATTTAATGTTCATTGATATTTTCATTGGTTATAATAATGATAAAAGCGAAAATAATGACGAATGTTATCAATATCATGATAATAAATATCATCTTTTTCATCATAATCACAGTGGTAACGGGGATAACGATTAATAGATTATAGATTATCAACGAGCACTATAATAACTGTAACTATGATGATGATTGATAACAATGATGTTCATTAACAACAACATTAATAACAGTGAAAACATTAATATGATATTATATTGATAATATTATAATAATAATGAGAGTAATAATGATAATAACACACACGCACACAAAAGATGATACTGCTTATTAGAATGATGATATTACCATTCATGATTATCATTATTATAAATAAATAACAATAATAACAATATAATACGATAATAAATTATAAATAACAACAACAACAATGAGAATTATGACTGCTAATATAATTAGAAGTAATAACAATAATAATTATAATAATGGATTTCATAATGATGAAAATAGCAATAACCATGATCAGATTTATTATTTTTCTCATTATCATCATTATCACCGTTAAGAATCAAATAAATGATCCAAATTACTTTAAAAACCTATAATAATACATTCATATCATTTATCATATATCATCCAGTCGTGAAATAAAATGAACAAATACATAAACAAAACAGAAATACAAAAATGCAGAAGTGAATGAATAAATATATTTGATTTACATGATGGATGAATGACGTCATTGATCGAAATATCATTATGGATTCATTTACTTTCGGTTTATTTCCATTTCATTTTGTGTACTTGTTTATCTGCCTCTCACTGTATCTATATATCAAGGTAAATATATGGCTGTCTATCTTTTTGTGTTTCTGCTTTTGATCTAACTTTAATGTCTATTCATTGTCTGTTTATATTACTTTCTTTCTTTCTTTTTCTCATTTTCTCTTCCTATGATGATAATGATAAGGATAATTTGATAGATGATAATAAAAATAATATTCGGTTAAAAAAGGATAATCTACTTGCATTATTAAATCACCTTAAAAAAACGATAAAGCCCATAAAAAAAAAAAAAAAAAAAAATCTATGCCATTTGGACTAACGTTACAGGAAGTCAGCCAAATGTTTCAGTATCAAGTGCCATTTTTTTTTTTTTTGTTCTGTGTTTATTTGTCCTTCCTCGCCCTCTCAATCTCAAACAAAATTCTTCCCTGTCTTTCTTATTCCGAATTTAGTTAAATCATGTATATCAGATCATAAACAAAATGCCAAGGAAAACAACTTCAAAAATCAAATATTCCTCGAGAGAGACACCAATAAAATGAGACACATAATTCACATATGGAGGTGCGTGTCAGCGTATCTTTGTACTTGCGTGTGAAGAGAATTCAAAACGCAATGCAAAATAATAATATAATAAGATAATAATAATAATAATAACAATAATGAATAAAAATAGTAGTTGTATAGTATAGCAGTAGTAGTAGTAGTAGTAGTTGTAGTAGCAGTAGTAAATAGGTAGTAGTGT